CCCTGTTCCAGGCACAGATTCGCGGCTATCTGATGCGAAGGCAGTACAAGAAGCTACAGGATCAAAGGTAGTTTACAGTCGGTGATCGTATAGATACTATGTTGCTACGTCGTTACTATACAGCCTCTGAGAAATTGGCGTAAAAAGGACTATATTGCTCATTAGATGTGTATATTTAGTCAATTCTTGGACTTTCTTACAAATCCAGTTTGCCAACTTTGTTTAAGAGCCATTTAGCAAAGTGCTCGTCACCGAAACCAGTTAATTCTTGAAGCCTATTCATACAGAAAGTGTTTCATCCCTTCTTGTTGGCTCTCAATCTGACCCCTCGAAACATCCGTAAATACCGACTGATGTATAACTGAATCTGATGGCCTGATACGAAGGAAATACAAAAAGTTGATGACGACGTAAGAGACTGAAATATAAAGGATTTGGCTCCTTGCTTGTTGTCCATCAGTTGGGCCTGTTTAGGCAATCCAAAATTGGGTTTCGAGGAGTCTATTGTTTCATAATTGTCGAGCTTTCTTCCATTTTGAGTGAAAGTGTTGCGTGAAGAAATTCTAAGCTCGGTTCCACCAGAAGACGACGGCCGATTCCTCTTGACCAGCCGTCGATTGGCTTTACTGGAACATTCATGCTGACGCTGTTTTCGTCGATTCCGGTGAAAAGGTGCTAAGCTTTCGTTCGTCACATGACGAACTTCATCAGAGCAAGGTATCACCATCACAACCAAATTCAAGCTGACGAGTCAAGAAAACTCGTTGGCTCGTTAGCTTGAATTTGGTTGTGATGATGATACCTTGCTCTGATAATGTTCCTCATGTGACAAACGAAAGCTTAGCACCTTTTCACCGGAATCGAAAGGTATTGCCTTGGAAACAGCGTCTACATGAATGTTTCAGTAAAGCCAATCGACAGCTGGTCAAGAGGAATCCGCGACCTTCGAATCTCTTCACCTGACACTTTCACTAGAAATGGAAGAAAGCCCAACAATCCGAAATATGACCATTTTTCAGCTTTATTTATGAAGCTATTTCGCCATCTAAGGACTGACAGAGAAGGTTTCCCTCAATCATACGAGCAGATGCCAAGATGCCAGTGAGTTCAGCTTAAGTTGTGTGCAAATGGGAAAATTTGTCTATAAATCCCTAAATCGCCTTGAGTGGACTATGGGAAGAGCAAATCGTGAAACCTGGTCATATTGAAAATGTGTCATTTCTTCTTTTTTTCCCCCATCGTATAAAGAGTGGCTCTCACCCTAATCCAGCGAAACATCCGCAAATACCTGTTGCTGCGCAACTGGCCCTGGTGGCGTCTGTACACCAAAGTGAAGCCGATGCTCAACGTGGCCCGTCAAGAGGAGGAGATGAAAAAGGCGGCAGAAGAATTGGCCAGAGTGAAGGAGGAATTTGAGAAACTGGAGAAGCTGAAGAAGGAATTGGAAGAGCAGAATGTGACCGTTCTGCAGCAGAAGAATGACCTATTTCTGCAGTTGCAGACAGAACAGGACAGTCTGGCCGACGCCGAGGAGAAGATCGCCAAAATGGTGC